AAGGTACAAGAAATTACTGGGATGCCCCTGAATAGTGATGGGACACCCAGATGACTTAAATCATTAAACAGGATTAGGCCCATTAACACAAGCCCAGTTACAARATAWGTTAAACATAAGAATGGGCTAATAAGAACTCTTATCAGCCGAACATCACTCTAACATTCTAACAGTATTTATACTTGAGCAAACCTAATCATGATATCTATGTACCATGTTAACGCATAAACCATACAGAACATAATTTGTACTCCATTTCTACATTTGATCTGCCAATGACAATTTTTTTATTGGTAAAAAATAATCTTTTTTTCATAAGAATGAGTTATAATACAAGATGTGCCAAGTATCCTTCTTAGAACTTTAGGTTAGTATTAGTTACCTAAACCCAAAGTACAAACATTTAGTTTACATGACTCTGCAAAATAGCTCCCTTCTATAATTAACCCCTTGCCTGGCTAATGTATCTGCTAAGCTATCAACTGATCTTAGTGTCCACATGAATGCTACTCTCAGCTTTCTAGCCAAATGTTGTATTTCACTTGCTATGTGCCTGTAATCCTAAGACCACTCCTTCCACCAAAAGATCTTTATAATCAAGTATTTTGACCAATCTCAAACATTGCATCATCATCCAAGCCTTATCCCAATGCTGATCAAAAAAAAGTCCAAGCCTTATCCCAACTATATGGGGCCAGATACATGAATCATGTTTCATCATTCCATTCTGTTTAATGCCATATCCATTATCAAATCATGGGCACTTATCATTTCTAACTACTTTGACCCATGTCCTTTTTGATCTACCCCTAGCCCTTCTAGCCCCTTCAACTTGCAACAAATCACTTCTTCTTACGGGTGCCGTTGGTGGTCTTCTAGGCATGTAAACAAACCATTTTAATCACCCATGTCTATACTCATTTTTTGGACATATTGTTTCTTGACTGTCCAACATTTTACTCCATACAACATAGCTGGCCTTACAACTGTTTTATAAAATTTTCCTTTCAATCTAAGTAGTATTCATCTATCACATAAGACTCTTGCACCCCCTTTGTTTTGCCCATCCCGTTCTAATTTTATGAGCAACATCCTCCTCAATCTCTCCCTTGTTATGAATTATCAAACCAAGGTACTGGAAAAGGCCACAGTGCATTATCCCATGATCTCCAATCCCAAGTGTATCCTCATTTGCACTCCTATTATCATTAAATTTACATATCATATATTCTTCTTTAGTCCTACTTATTTTAAAACCATTTATTTCTAAGGCATTTGTGCTTAAACTTAATTTTGCATCCTTCATTAGTTTCATTGATTAAAACAACGTTATCAGCAAGCAACATGCAACATGGGCCTCCTGAATGTGTAGTCGATTCATCTATGATCAATGAAAATAACTAAGGGCTAAGAGTTGAACCTTGATGAAGACCCATTGTAACTACAAAATTTGGTGTCTCTCTCACAATTGTTCTAACGTTGGTTATTACACCCTCATAGAGATCCTTAATTAGATCTATATACCTATTGGGGACTCCTTTCTTTTCCAAGACCCGCCATATTATCTCTTTGGAGACTCTATCATATGCCTTTTATAGAACAATGAACACCATATGGAGATCTCTCTTCCTCTCTCTAAACTTTTCTATCAATCATCTCAAATGACAAGTAGCATCCATGGTCGATCTCCCTAGCATAAAACCAAATTGGTCCTATGATACTCTTGTTTAATTTCATAACCTTTCCTAAATTATTCTCTCCCAAGGTTTCATAGTGCGGTTCATGAGTTTAATCCCTTGATATTATTACAACTTTGTATATCACCTTTGCTCTTTAATATCGGCACCAAACCACTCTTTCTCCATTCATCAGGCATCTTCTTTTCTTTCATTATCTTACTAAATAGCTTAACTATCCATAATCTCAAACTTTGCACCACTACCATCAATTTTGTCCTTGTTGAATGGCTAATAGGTGCAGAAAAGATAGCAAAAATGTTCCTTTGGCCAGATTTATTAACAATAGACTGCCTTTCACTATTCAAACATGAAATGACTTGATTACTTGATATAGGCATCTAGCAGAAGGTAAAGTTGCATAACCAACACAACAATCACAAAACTATAAGCATTTCTCCAATATAACAATAATTCTCTAGAAATCACTAGACATTAAATCCTCCCTAATGCATCCTCATGGAATAAGCAAATTTCAATGACCAACTCAGCATCTAAATCAACTGTCATGTATGCTCTTTTTTTCTGAAAATTATGTCGAGTATGCACTTTGATTGGTAAGTAACATGAAAGTCACATTAAACTGTGAAATGGGCAAGCAGCTGATAGAGAACCATCCAGTGTATGGTATAATATGACTAGCACATTGTTTTTACACAGAAACGAATCATTATGTATTAACACCCCCTCCCAAAAGAAAATCGGAAGAGAAAAAAAAAATACCAAAATTAACAAATCCCAACCCTTTCTTCCTTCAAGCATGATATCCAACTAAAGAGCAGCATCACGATTCTGAATTACCCAACCAAGCAGCTTTTTCGTTAAAAAAAAAACCTAAGACTTCTCTTCTTCAGTAAACTCCAATAAATGCGAAAATGATTTTTTTATCAGTAACAAATGCCAAGATGATGGAGATTCGAGAGAAACTAACTCTTGCGCTATATTAGTATGGATTGGCCTCTAGGGGTTATAAAATCAACCAAATAATCTCGATTAGTGCCGGCATACCTTATTAGAGAAGCCACAATATAATGGAATGATTGTTATATAAAATAGCATTGTATAGAGACCACGAATTGTGCATGATTCTTCCCCCATCAACATCCAAATTTTGTGGCCACTAAATGCGTTATACTAATGCTTCTAGTATTGACGACAGTGAACTTCACTTTATATTTCTCTTCGAGCATACAAACATTGAATTTGGGGCAAGAATTCTTGACGTTGATTTTCAGCTCAGTTTACATTGTTGCGGCGTCTATATTCGTTTGGGAAAAAAGAGCTCTGAATACAGATAAACTAAACATGTAATAGAGTGGACGAGCAAGAAACCATACCGGTTTCAGAATCTGATGGCTTGGAAGTAGACGTATCGCCTTCGATATCTCTATTTAGGGCAGCAGTGAACGCCTCCACTTCTGCTCCGGAATGTATAGTTTCATCCTGAGAGCACAGACAGCAACGCAAATCTTAGAACAATTAAAGTTTTAGAAGGGCACAAAGTAGGTGGGGAATGAAATAACAACCAAAAGAATAAATAAATATGAAGATTGAAGAAAAAGATAGACGACCTCGTCCTCTTCGAGGAGCTTCATGATGGAAGGGTCCATCTGAACCGTTTCTGGCGGAGAAGCAGCAGCCTAAGGAGCCACTAGTTTTTTTGACGGAAGAAGTTGTAGTGATTCCTCTGCGGCAATCGAGACCGTGGCGTTTAGCTTTAGTTTATGATGGAATCACCGAGTTTCCTGCTTCTGGACAGAACAATTCCGGAATCCGGAAGTGTATAAATTCGGCAATTCGACAATAAATATAAAGTCTTAGGATTTCTTCCGACGAGGTCCCGAAGAAGTACGAACGGTTCCCTTTACCGGAGCTCGGCGGTGGCAATGGCTAAAGGTCAATAGGCCTTTATTAAATTTTAGTATTTTACTATTGACTACAATGAACCGTTTCTAGAGGAGGGAGCCCGTGCCGGGGATTGTAGTCTCGGATGGGTGAACGTCTAGGGTCTCTGCTCTGAGTACACTCTAGGGTGCAATATTTTTATCACGTGTCTGGTCTAGGTCATTCCATTCACACATTAAAAAGACAGCCGAGTTCACTGACAACAAACAGTGTTTTATAGCATTCTGAATCTCTGATTTCTGAGGAGTGACGTCTGAGGTGTGAAGTCTATATTTTCTTTACTAGTAACCAGTAAAATTATCTGTAGAAACCTACCGGCCACCGGGAGCTTTATTTAAGTGCGATGACTGAATTGGACCTTCAATTTGGTTGAAGCCCAAAGCCTTCTTAAGTCCAATTCTAGCCTCTAGGCTTTCTAGCATTACGGAAGTCGGGGAGTGCACAACCATAACCCCACCTCTTACCATGGTGATTAATTTTAACCGGCCCAGCCCGGTCTGAAAATTTCAGGCTTGAGTCTAGATTTTGTGTTTAGCCTGATCTGGCCATATTCACATTAGATCCACAAATTTTAGGGCTGGGCTTGGATCCAACATTTCAGGTCTGGCCCGCCCTATACATATTCATACATATATTAATTATAGTATTTATATGTATTATTTTATGTTGAGTTTTATATTTTATAATTTATATAAATATTATAAAATAGCATCTATAATGCATATTATATATAATGTTTTATATCACAAGATCGATAAAACAGTTCATACATGTATTATATTAGATAATATAATAGTTTATACATAAAATTCATAGGCCAGGAATCAGGCCTTTACCCGGACCATGATCTCCAATTCTCCACTACTACCAAAATTCATAGACTATTCATAGGCGAATAGTCTCAGTTTCTAAAATTTGCATTGGATTAGTTCTACCCACATCTGTCTATGCATACAAAGGACATACAGAGGGCGTATATGTAATTTAATCTCACTCTCATAGAAACTGAAAAACATCGATTCTATCTCCCACAAACTCCAACGTTTTCATCTCTCACATAAGCATAAGCTATTCCACTATTGACTTCCTTTCGTTCAAGTGGATTCATCTCTCACTTCTGAATACCCTCTCTTTCCCACTAACTCGAACAGTTTCATCATCTCTCAGAAGCTATTCCACTTCTGACTACCTTTCGTGCCAGCGGATTCATCTCCTATTTCTTGGTATCTTTCCTACAAAGAGATCGAACGCTCTCACAACGGTTTATCTCCCACAAAGAAAACGGTTTGATCTCCCACAACCTATCCAGTTTTGAGTACCTTGCAACTCCTGAGTTCAGTAAACATCTTCCATGTTTCCACTTCGATGCTCCCATGTTCAGTTTTGGACTTTTGACTGCAATTAAGTATTGCTTCCTGGGACCACAATCGTGGACGAAGACGTTTGAGCATTCACATTGGGAAATGGTGGCTCTTAGGGAAATTAGGAAGTACCAGAAGAATACCAAGCTTTTGATCCGAAAGCTTCCATTCTAGAGGCTCGTTTTTGAGATCGCTGAGGACTTTAAGATTGACCTGAGGATACAAACCAGCACAATTGCTGCCTTATAGGAGGCCATGGAGGCCTATTTGGTTGGGTTGTTTGAAGACACCAACCTTTTTGCTATTCACGCCAAGAGGGTCACAATTATGCCCAAGGACATTCAACTTGCATGAAGAATTAGAGGGGAGAGGGCTTAATGTGTTCTCTACAGGATTCTAATATCTATTTCTCTATCTATATATAAGAAGTTTTAAGTTTCTTTTTATTGTTTGGTAGTCTTGTTCTAAAATGAAGAAATACAAGATCTTGTTTTGAATTTTTCCAGAATCAATTATTCGTTTAGTTCTCCGTGTCTCTCAGCTTTATAAGTTCTATATTCAACTGAAACTTTGATCCCATTCAGGACACGTTTCAATTAGTGATTGATTCATGGTCAAGACCTAAAACCCTTAATTGTGATCATAGAAAAGAAGTAATTTTCCATTGTAATTGGGATCCTGTGTATTCCTAAAAGGACTTGGGGTCCTGAAAATATTTATTTCTATTAAACCGCTTCGTAGATCCCAATGGCTTATGAATGCTCTCTTGACTTCTTGAAAGTTGCATCAGTTTCCAAAGTTCACTCAGATTAATGCATGACATGTTGATATTCTTGTTCTTTGTTAATTTGAATCTCTAGTATAGTCTCAACCACTTTGTAAGCAGCTTCAAAGTTCCAAAACTTCAAGACTTCAAACTAATTAATTTATGATATGTTGATTCTATTGTTCTATGTAACTTTCATTTCTTATATGAAGCTACATCCACATATTAGTTAATAGAAAGACATGTTCTGGAAAACTGAAGCAAGGTACTTTATGCATGCATTTGTGAAGTATTACATATTCTCACTCATATTAGTAAATGCTTGTACTTTTAATCCTTGTACGTTTATTTTTGGGATGCTCCTTCAACATTTGAACCCAAAATCCAAACAGTAGAGGCATAAAGGTAGTGCAAGTTGATTACCATTGTGTTTGAATTTTTTAGGAAACAGAAGATTTGCTAAACCTATAGCTTTTGGTATTTCCTTTTCTGGCTTTCCTGATAATTGGATTATACCAATAATAAGTCAATGGTAAAATTAAAAGTGTACCACTCTGTTCCTTGTTGTTCGCAATTTATCTAACATAATTTTCTACAACTGGGAGATGGATGGTGTTAGGGGTTTGCTATTTGGGATTAACATACTGTTGCTTATTTGTTATACAATGTTTGTATTTTATAATTGGCAGGGGAACCATTTATTAATGGGTAGGCCGTTGCATATGACCCTAAATACCATGAGGAATGGGTAAGAAATAATGCACAGGCAAATGAGAGATCTAGGCGCAATGACAGACCCCGTAACTTTGATCGGTCAAGGAACTTTGAGAGAAGAAGAGAAAATATGCAGAGTTGTGATTTCCAAGCTAGAGAAATGCCACCTAATTGTAAAGCTCAGAACCCCATGCCTAATATGGGAGGAATGCCACTAGTGCAGAACACCATGCCAAATATGGGAGGTATGCCCCATAATGAAGGATACTCCAATGTGCCCAACAACATGGGAAGCATGCCGCCTAGAGGCTTTCACAACCTAACAGTGGAAGTATGCCTTACCAGACCAGGGAAATGCCTAATGGTTCCATGCCAAACAGAGATTTTCAGAACAGCTATGCACCAAACATGGACATGGGAGGCATGCAAGGTGGAAACCCTTACCAAAGTGAGAGATATGCCTAGTAGAGGCTTTCCTCCAACACCCAACAGAGACTACCAATAGACGAAGTCTATAGATAACTGAGGATGAAGTTGTAGAGTTGTGGAAAGGAGGATCTTGGGTGTGGTCATTTGTGAAGTTTTTGGGACTCGACATAAAGGAAAAGGCCTATGGACCTGATTGAATGGCACTATATCAATTATCATGCCTCTATGTATAGAACATTCAGTTGTGTGCATGAACTGAGAACATGAAGTTGTGATTTTTTTATGGCTTTTGTGGATTCACCACTACTATTTGATATCCATATCTATATCAATCTGAAACGTTGAATTCTTGCAAGTGATTCCAATTAAGGATCTAATGTACTTACCCACACACTTAACTCTTTCTACATTATACCTGGATTTAATTTGACTTCATTTCACGGCATTATTGTTCGACTTCTAATTTGCTTTGGTCATGGATGCATTTTTTAATGATTTTTTAATATTTTGAGGGTGTTTGCCAATGTGCTTAATTTTATTTTGAAATCAAAATCTACTCCCACATGGTGAACACCACCCCCTTAACAGATGTATTAGGGAATTTGTACTTAACAAATGTTATTGAAATGATTTTGCAATCAAAAGCATTAACAATATTCCCTGGCATACATTGATTTCAAGTGGCCAGAGGATGTTATTCAGTTTGCTAAGTGCTTTGTTTGGCATATTTTTGTTAATGAGAAGGGTCATTCAATGAAATATATTCTGCACACATCATTTTTTGAACCTGAATTTGTTTTACATTTATTGGGTTGTGTTTGGACTATTGCTCTTTTTATCTGAAATGTTTTTCACTTGATCAAAACAAACTGCCTTGTAAATTGTTTTATTTGGATTAAATTTTTTATTTGTAATTGATCGACCAAAGGATATATAAGATGATGAAAACCTTGTTTATTCATATTACAAGGCTAAACTTATAAGCCAAAATCTATATTTTTTTACATTAGTGTTACACTCCATAATGATTTAATTGCACTTATTTTAATTTACAATAAAATTCATTATGATATACATCAAATACATATAAAATATTGCAAAATACATGATTTTACATTATGCCTATTTGTATTTGTATTCTTTCCAAATAGAGCTTTATTTATTTATTTATTTATTTATTTATTTATTTATTTATTTATTTATTTTTACAATTAAACAAACAAATCACTGGCAAAAGGAAACAAGGAACGGTTGAATACACGAAGGTGGATTGCTCCAACTAAAAGACAAAACATTGGAACCTTTGACCACCTGAGCTGTACGCAGTGCTATTGGAACAAAACAAAACTTAACATTAACAAAAAGGAGTTTCAAAGTCTCCATCACATTAGAACCTTTTCCTTCATTTCCTTATTTTCTCCTTCAAACTAAACACAGCCTTGGGTTACGGTGACATAAAATTTAATGGATTCTTTTATGCTTTTGCAGTCATCTTTGAATTAATCGGCGCACCATCATTTTGATGTCATTGTTCGAGACAAATGGAAGGGACATAGTGTGTAAGCGGAAGATATGAGAGAATGGTATATCAGGTATACAAATTACAATTAGATGCTGTTGCTATCGTTCATGTCTTTACAATCTCATACATAGGGGTGTCAATTGGACTGGATTTGGTCCAAACCGGTCCAGTCCAATGTGAGTCCATTACAAATGGATTTGGTCTAATCCAGTCTAAGGAATATTTTGGACCATTTTGAACCGGTCCAGAGACTGTTCAATCTGTTCAAATTCTTGTTAGTTTAGATTGATTTCAACTCAAACCTGGTCCATTGACAACTATGTTTTTATCTTCTATCAATGGACCAGATATTGGCTCAATCCAATATAAATTCATTATGGACGGACCAGATCCAATCCAATATATTATATCGGTCCATCTAATCCGTCCAAATTCAATATGTCTTATTGGCTCGTTCAATCTGTCCAAATGGATTTTGATTTGAACGGAGCCCAACCCAAAATCGGTCCATTGACACCCCTACTCGTACACAGAGAATACCATTGCCGGGGTAGTCATCGGAAAATAACATTTATTGGTTTTATTTTTTTCTTGTTTCTTCTGATATTCTTAATGAAACTCATGCAATGAATTTGAAAAATCGGGCCCATTGTTGCTAAAATTTGAAAAAGAAAGGCAATGAATTTTATATCGCTAGCCAAGACTACACTGGCTCAATCGGGCCCCATATTGCTATCCACATTGTTGGGATGAACCACATCGTGATGAGGTTGAGTATAGCAGTCAAAGTTGAGTTCAGAAATAGCATAAATGGTGGCAAAAATAGTGGTGATACAGTGAGCAATGGTTGTAGTTTTGCTATTATTTATGTTATCTCATACCAGTAAAAATGTTGTGGGTTGATTTAGCAATAACAAAGTCTTATAATTGGCCCTTGTGATTAATGAGTAAATTCTCTTTTTTGTTTTTAATAAGTTTATTTATTTAAAAATGGTAAAAGCTAAAAAAACCTATTAAAATCTATGGGGAAACATTTTTCAAGTAATAGTTGTAAATAATGGTGAATTTGGGACTCTGTTATTTATTGTTACTCTGGTTAATCTCAATAAAGTTTTTTTTTTTTTTTTTGTAACTAAACTTTCAATTGCTAAAAAAGTCAATGAGTACATCAGGAGGAGAAATCCAAACAGATTCTTGTTAAATTCCCCTAAACCTTGTGGCTAGAGTATGAGAAATTATATTTAAAGATCTATGCACATGAACAAAACGCAAATCATCAAAACAAGCAACAATGTTCTTAATGCCAGATATAATTGATTGAGCAGCCCATGACGAAGAGAGCAAATTTCCTTGTAAGGCAGTGATCACATTGAGATTGTCATTTACCACACAGATTTTTTGATGATGAAATGTAGAGCAATGCAGTAAAGCAGAGAGAATAGCCCATGCTTCCACACCTTCAACATCACTAAGAGGAGATGGAGTAACTCCTACCCTGATGAACCTATTATTCACCCCAGTAATCACCCATGCAGTAGCATTAGATTCATCCATGACCGTAGCATCAGTATAAATAATAACAACCACGTTAACAGGGACACAATTTGGATCATTTTTTTCTACAAATTTGTTGAACATCCACATCCACATATGTTGATTGTTGTATAAAACTCTATTCTCTATAGAAACGATACACACTTTGAAGTACATCCATTGGCTGAGCCGAATAACCATGGAAAATGCATTTGTTACGAGCGTCCTAGATCTTCCACAACACAGTAGTCTTAAGAATTAGATCAGGCATCCACTCCTCATCAGGACCCCATGAACCATTCACAAAATTCAAAATCCATTCATCAATAGTTATATTTGAAACTTGATTTGGTCTCCAAGATAAAGAAGACCCAAACCAAATAGCTCTTGAAAATGAACAATCCCAAAATAAATGCTTTGGTGATTCAATGTGGTTACATCCAAAAGGGCATAACGCTTCAGGCCCAACACCAAAAAGTTTGTCTCGTGTGCGTAGTCCTCCATGTAATATTTTCCATAAGAATAGTAGAATCCTTGGGTAAATCTTCAATTTCCAAAACTTCCTCCAAAATGCATTGTCTTTAGCGTCTGTTGAAAAGGAGCAAAGATGTTTGCAGGCAGATTTTACAAAAAAAAATACCCTTACGCTCTAACAACCACAACCAACCATCATCACCACTTGATCTAATAGAGATAGGGACCTTAAGGATGTTTCAAATTGAAATCGGATCAAAAAATCTGTGAAGAAGATCCAATCTCCACTGTCAGTTAGAGTCTAGAAGATTACAAACTCTACACATGCCATCCAGAACACTGGTAGGTGGGATCTATAATTTGAATTTTGGTTGAGAGGGGACCCATGGATCACCCCATATACTTATAGAGTGACTATTACCCACCCGACACACACAGCCCGCACGAAGTACGTGCCTTGAGCGACAAATACCTTTCCACACCCAACAGTGCCGTTTAAGATCACAGTCCAAAAACTTTTCAAATGGAAAATGCTTTGACTTCAAAATTGAAACCCATATTGAACCCTGTTCAGTCAAGATTCTCCACCCAACCTTAGCTAACAAAGCATCATTGAAGTATTTCATTCGTCTCACATCTAAGCCACTTGCAACTTTCGGTAAGCATATCTTTTGCCATGAAACTGTCGGATAGAAATTGTTCGAATCAAAAGCACCCCAAATAAAACAATGCATAACCTTCTCTATGTCTTCACACGTTATGAGGAGTGAAAGTATTGACATCAAGTAAGTAGGAATAGCTGTTACCACATGATTCACAAGTGGAACCCCGCCTACAAATGAGAGAGTATGTGCACGCCAACCATTAAGTCTGTCACAAACCCTTTTTACCATCGAAGAAAAAATTTCATTATTGTTTCTGCCTATAAATAGGGGGCTCCCAAATATTTGTCTCTTTGTGAGATGCATTTCACCTTCAGGAAACAAACTAACATATTACGAAAACGGTGATGCACGTTCTTACTAATGAGAATACTAGATTTTGTATAGTTGACTTCTTGCCCTGAACTACAACAAAAAACCTGAAGTGCCTTCTTTACATTTTTAAGTTCATGTACCATGGCTTTGCCAAAAATTACTAAATCATCGACAAACTTCATATGTGAGACTATTAGGCATTCGCGAGCAATATTGACTCTAGACAATTTCTTATTCTCAACAAGTTTTAAAAACAAAAGAGATAAAGCATTCATGCATATAATGAACAAATATGGAGATAAAGAATTGCCTTAACGTAACCCCCGTTGAGGAATGAACTTGTTAGAATTCTCTCCATTGACCATAATTGAAAAAAAGGGGATAAAAATGCACAAGTGAATAAAGCAGGATTTAATGACAATATTGAATGGGTGTTTCTTAATCTCAATAAAGTTATTGTCTTCTTTTAAAAGATAATTTTGGAATTTTAAAAATATTATAAATCACGTGTGACATCATATGCATTAAATAACTAATGAGCTCCCAACCACAATTACAGTGGTACATTTTAAAATTCATGTACTATATGCAATTTAACCTTGAAAAAGCCCTCGCAAAGGAGCACTTAAAATATTTACAATGTGACTGGACATCATAGTCTTAGCATGTGTAAATGAATTTAGAGTTCGAATCTCCTGACCACTTTTTACCCAAAAAATAAAGAAGAAAATCTGCTGACCGCAATATATTGCTGGATATTCCCGTTATGCACCCATCAATGTATTGTGGTCAGCAGATCCCAACTCTTCATTAGATTCATTTTGTATGTGTTTATTGGATCAAAACTTTAGTACGCCACATCATGCAATACATAAGCGTCATGTCAGCTATGCATTTCGTAAAACACATAGCCGTTTGGGATTTCTCGCTTCCCCCAACAGTTATTTTCACGAAGGCCGATGAAATAATTTGGGAAAATATATTTTAGCATTTTTTTAATAAATGCTTTTACCAAATAATGAATTTAGCATGAATAAATGTTTATTGCGTCAAATGCTGAATTGGCGGCGTTTTTTCAATAAACATAAACGAAATCAAACATCTCCAATCCGGTGACACAAGTCTTCATATAATCATATCCTGGGGTGGGGCCAAGTGGTTATTAGCCACACGTTAAGAACTCTTATATTTTATTTTGTCATTCATGGCCAGCAATGTGTTGTGGAATCACCCACTACCAAAATGGCAAAATCCACCGATTAACGATTACCCTTAACCCCACGTCCCCACCTGGTTCCGGGGCGGACCCACTTTGCACTTTTGTTCCCTCCTATTTAAATTCCAACTTCCATGTGATCAATGTACGCCACGTGTCGATTTTAATAGCTACGTGTCAATAATCGGGCGGAACACCTAAAGGTCCTAAACTCGTGGAAAGCTTTTACGATGAGAGGCCAACCCAACAAAAGCACACTGCCTTCCCGAGAGGTCAATAGAGCTCCGAGCCTCCGATTCACGCACTTCTCGCCTTCACGTTAATTCCTTCCTCTCCCTTTCTTTTCTTCACGAAATCTCACCGGGAACGAGAATACAAGCAATGAGCGGCGGCTGGTTCTTAAGAAATGTCGGCAAGCGCTACCTCCATCCGTTGCTGGAGAGACGTTCTCTACCCAATTCCTTTGTTTCAACAGAAGCACCGATTCTAGCAAAACAACAATCAAGAACATACTCCCCAATTCCTCTCCTTCTATTCAGGAAGGTCAAAGAATCGGGAAACACTACATCTTTTTATCCTTCGTCCCGTTTCTTTTCTTCTTCGTCTTCTTCTTCATCGAATAGTTTTATTGGATGGTATCTGGGCATGATCGAATCCCGTCCCGTTCTCACGAAAAGTATCACCGCTGGGCTTATTTATTCGGTTGCCGACTTGTCCGCTCAGGTAAGATTCAGATTTCGGTTATTTATTATTTTCTGGTTCAATTTATATCAGAGTGAGAACAATATATTTATGTGCCGACGTGCCGTTGTATAGTTGTTGGTCATTTAATGTTAAGCTGTGTAATATTGTCGTACATTACTTATAGTGTCTGAGGCAATTACAAATTCTGTTGATCCTGCCAAGAGATTTCTATCTGAATCTTAGCATCTAAACGAGGAATAATAATGAGGACCAAGGAGAATATTTTTTTTTCTCCTCTCATGTGTTATATTGAGTTTAGTCAGTTGAGACTTGAGATGAATGAAAAAGAAAGGAATACAGAAATTAACTGTAAGAACGCCGCCCTGACGGTCACAATTATAACTAAGGAAAACAGGTTTCTGCGTATATTAGTGGATTTGGTTGGTTTTCCGCTGAGCTCAAGGAGTACAAGGATGATGTATAACCCCTTCTGAAATCTTTCTTTTATAAAACGGCAATTGACTTTAATGTTGTTTTTTATTTGCTTAAAGTGGATGGCAGTCCAAATTAAGGGTATCATGCTTATTTATATTTGATGGGAATCGAAGTTTGAAGCCAATGAGGAGTTCATGGAGCGACAACCTTTATTGCAGGCAAATTCCATGGCTTGCTCGACATCTTTCTTTCCTTCTGCGCCTTCTAAGATGCAGATGGAAAGAGCAAAAATGATGACGACCAAGATGTAACCGCATGGCAGATGGCTTAAATGACCGTAATTGATGCAGTTGTAAGTTTAATTAAGGATAATCTTTGCATTGTGGTCGTTGAGGTAGAGGATCTATACTCTTAATGAACTGCATTGCCAGGAGAGAACTGGCACAATGTTTTCATCGGTGTTCCAATAGCTGATTTCATGGTCAAAAGACAATATTTATCATTTAGTGGAAAAAACAGAAAACAACGATGCCAAATGACAAAAGATTATAATCTCCACTTCTTCCACTCTTCATTTTCGGATCTTAAAAGCTGAATCTCCACCCTATCAAATCCAAAACCGTACATGCTCCTCCAACATTTCTTTATTCTGATATGAATTTTAACCCTCACATGTTGTTCATATAACCAACAAGACTAAGACTGTAAGGAAGTCCAAGAATAAATTGTGGTTATCCATTTTTCTCTGCCTGATAAGTTCTCTGTTTAGATAAATCCATGGACAATTTTCTCCTGAAAGGAAAACAAGGAAATAAATAAGAAGATTTCTTTTATTCCTTATTTGCAATAATGTTATTTCTAGTGGAAACCTTATTAGATCCAATATCTAGTCACCACATATCTCATTTGTTTCCGCACATATCTAGTCACCACATATTTCATTTGGTTATCCATTTTTCTTCATTCTCCTTCAACTTTTCTTTAATGCAATCTGGAATTAAGCCCTTGCATATTAGTCATAGGATCAGAGTGGAATGGTGGAACGGCATTCATGTAGCAGAACCGATATAGTTGGACAAGGTTTAATTGAATTGAGTCAAATACATTGACCATAGGATCATTAAAACTGAAAGGAAGGTCCAAAAACCAATGGTGGTTGTCTGTGATCTTTGTCCGAGAAAGCTCTGTTAAAATGTATCCATGGATGATCTTCTGCTGTTTTTCTTGTGCTGCGGAAAGAAAATGTGAGGGAAGAGGATGCAGAATAGAGAAGTTTGAGAATATGAAGAAACAAGTAGATGGATTATGGATTTATGGCACCGACTTCTCTTTTTCTGTTTTTGTATTTTATTTGTTATTGAAAGAATATAACATATAGGGCCTGTTTGTGAGGGCTGAAGCTTTGGTTAAGTTGTTTTTGTTGAGATGCTTTGGAGAAACCACTACAAGAGGCTTCATGGGAAAGCCATGTTTTTTGGCTGAAATACAGCTAATTTGGGCTTTCCCTGTTTTTCACCAAATATTGCTTAAAGGCTGTCAGGGTCGGGCCTACCTTGCAAAGCCAAAGCCACTGGATGATAGCCCTCCCAAATAGGCACATAATGACATAATATAGCAAACAGCGAAGAAGGTTGCTAGCTCCCAACTGCCACAAGGCTTCATGTGTGGGAGTGGTCCTCTATCCAGGAGTTCTAGTCTGCCTAGCATAACCCTTCAAGTAACAAAACTGCTATGTTCCCTAATCTCCATATCCATCTCTCTCTCTCTCTCTTTCTGGCAGTGGAGGGGAATTCATCTCTAGAAGTTCCAGACTTCTAGGCTGTGTTTGGGTTGATAGAAAATAAGAGAGAGAAAATTGAATTTTCTCATTCATTTAGTTTCTATCAAACCAAACATAGCCATAGGGAATTATATTTCTGAAAGAAATAAGAGATACCTTTTTTACATCTGACTTGTTATTTTCAGATGATTGTATGCAAATTTCTTTTGGTTGTTAGTCTATTGTCAATATGTTCTGTGTCATTAACCATATGCCCTCTTTGTTCTGAATGCTCAATCCTTTTCTAAATGTTATGTATTTGCTTTGTCTAGTGGTAACATGGGTTTCATGTGCATGAAATTTTTAATAGACATGGGAAGACATGAAGTATGTGACAATGAAGTTTTTTTTTGATCACTCTTAGCAGTTATGAAATATGAATATGTTAAAATGCGTTAGGAGCATGGTGTTCATTCATTGTACATTATACTTGCTTTGAATACATTTCCTTCTATGTTATATCCTATGATGCTCACTGATATGGACATGGACATGGATATGACAGAAGGGGAGATGACTATATATTCCCCAAAATCCACAGGTATGGGTATGAATATCACATGTAAATATGCTTATATCATGCATTTATATCTAGTTTTTGAAATTAAGTGCCACTTCTCAATGATTCATGTCTTGTCAAATTTAATTAAATTTTACAGGCATTTTTATAGTACATTTGGTTAAGAAAATACCATTTTACATATTAGTGTTATACATCTAGAGTATCCATGCACTAATGCAATATCTAGTACCATATCTTGGATAGGATATTGGTATGCTAGGCATGTATAGGTATCCAAGTGTAGGGGTGGCAATTTTTCAACCCAACTCGCTAACCCGCCCAACCCAACCATTAATTGGTGGGTTGGGTTGTATCCATTTAGTCCCGGGTCTGGTGGGTTGGGCAACCCAACAAGGGAGAGGCTTAATGGTTTGGGTGGGTTGGGTCATGGTTATCCAACATTAGCCTCTTCATATTTCCACAAGCACTCTCTCTATCGGTCTATCCTCATTTGTCTTTTTCAGTAGACAAAGATCTTTTTAGGGTTTCTCTTTGCAAATACCAACGTTTTAAAAAACGACCCAGAAATGGAACTGTTATGGTCATCGGTTTCCGGGTCAATGGTCCGACCGTTCGATTCGAAAGGACAGCCCGTTCTGACAAACAAATATAAAAAATAAAAAATGGTTAGAACCGTTGAACGTGTCAACGGTTCGACCACCCAGGTCAATGGGTTGTTGACTTTTTCAACGGTTTTTGGCCAAAAACCGGGTTTGGGGTAAAATGGAACCGCTTGCCTGGACGGTTCATGGGCCGAACGGCTCGACCGTCCGGGTCAACGACGCTTCGAAAACCATGGCAAATACTACCACTTTTAATCTCAAGAAACGAAGGAACCACAACTAGTTGATGAAACCTGTATCGTCATTGATGTTTATAGAAATGACCAAACCCATAGTGCCTTGGCAGATGAAAATGAAGATAACGGGATCGCCAACAGAGGAGACAGAGGACATCACAAAGAGAAGGGGCTTCTAGCTATAACGGGATCAAGAGCAGAGGAGAAGCCACAATAGAGGAGTTTTGAGTGCTCTTTAGTTTAATCAATTAACTTGTTATTTGCTTCTAGCTATCCCCCTCTGGTACTTCAAATTTCTCTATTTCTGAGACTCAAGAGAACAAATGCACTGATGATTTCTTTTCTCCCAAGGTTTTTGAACCGCCGTTGACCTAGACGGTTGGACTGTTCAGCCCGGGAACTGTCTAGGCAAGCGGTTTTGTTTTACCCCAAACCTTGTTTTGGCCAAAAACCGTTGAAAAAGTCAACCCATTGACCCGGACGGTTGAACTGTCGACCTGTTCAACGGTTTTGACCGTTTTTTATTTTTAATTATTTTTTATTTTTTAATTTGTTTGTCAGAATGGGCCGTCCGTTCGAACCAGATGGTCGGACCGTCGACCCGGAAACCGGTGGCCAGAATGGTTTCGTTTCTGGGTCGTTTTTTAAAACGTTGTTTTCTCCTATGATTTGTAATTGTAAATGGTGATTGAATCGATTAAGGAAACAACATCTCGAAGCGGTAGCAAAGCCCTATCTTTTTTGATTTTTTCTGATTCATCTACTTCAACAAACCGAAAAAATCAGAGGGCGCAGATGAACTCAAGGGTTTGGGCTGGGTGCTGTAATTGTTTGCATTGGGAATGATGAGGTACATGAGCTCCCACTCCAACGTCATTGCCAATTGCGATGAAATACTYAATGTGAGCCCCTTCACCTMTATAAATCTGGTTTCTGCATATTGTTTTACAATTTTGTGTGGGAATGATGAGGTACATGGGCTGGGTGCTGTAATTGTTTGCATTGGGAATGATGAGGTACATGAGCTCCCACTCCAACGTCATTGCCAATTGCGATGAAATACTYAATGTGAGCCCCTTCACCTCTATAAATCTGGTTTCTGCATATTATTTTACAATTTTGTGTGGTTTTTTGTTATTTTTCTATAATTTCTCCTTTCTTCATTTTTTTTATGTTTTCTATAATTTTTGTTATTTTTATGTAATTTCTGCTTTCTTTTTTTTGTAATTTCTAATAGTTTTCTACAGTTTCTGTGTTGTGATTTTCACAGTAATACTGTTTTTTCACATGTATAGAAAGGACAAAATGAAACTTGCATTTTCTGTTTTTTCAACTTTTTATGTAATTTCTATTAATTTTATGCATTTTTTGTGTTTTTGTTTAATTTCTATTTTATTTCCTGTAATTTCTATTATTTTTGTGTA